CCATATTAAACAAATACATCCTAAGGTTACCCGGGTCCACGTTTTGGGGCCACGCCCCCTTTATATATCAAAATATTTTTTACCCTGTGACCATCCCTGGAAGATATCCAGTGCGTGTGTAAAATTTGGTTACGATCGGCTTATTCGTTTAGGAGCCAAGTGTGTCTATAGGTACATACATAATTTGAATTTTATATATATAGATATTGGCACCATATTCACTTGTGTCTTCGTTTTTGATTTGGATGATAAGTGTCTTAGTCGATGGGTTCAGGATTGTGGCAGCCGTAATCTAGGTATGTTAAATTACAATACATCCCTGGTTCTTTTCCAGCACGTCGAGACTTATTTTTATTGATGACATGTACTTACATGTTAGAATTTTTAGCAATTTCCATGAAAAACCAAAAGTTAATTTATTTAGAATAGAATTTTTACTTAAAAGCCAATATTATTAGTAATAATATTCATAAAGAGCCTAAGTAAATCAGAACGACTTATGTTATTTTGAAGTTAACGCTAGTAATGCACGGCAATGCTAAAAAATATTATAAAAATAATTTTCTCGAAAAGTTTTCGTGACGAAATTTTATTATCTTTTTGGTAGCGTGCTACCTATACATACCCAAATCGCTAATTAATTTTTTAAGGGGCAAACTACACAGGTCTGTGCTATTTTTGATTACGTACTTGGATGTGAAATAACACATTTTATAAAAATTTTTAAGCAGATTTGCGCTCCGATGCAACGAACATACTTATTTTAAGCCATCTTACAAAACCATTTATCAAGATAAAAAATCCTTATACACAAATACACTGATAAAACCTATACCTACATATGTATGTATCTGGCAAACAAAATGACTTATGGTAGGCAATAATTTCCACCTGTGGAGACGCGTCGTTAGCTGATCTATCAATCTAGTAAATGGTAAAATATTATTGATTAGGGCTAAAGACGGTTCACTGTTCAACTTTCGCAGGCGATTAGTTGAATCAAATGTTTACATCATTTAACTGAAATTGGAACAATGTAAACGCCTAATAAATACAACGATTAGAAAATAATAATATTCTGAACGCAATTTTTTTAAAAGTTCATTACTGCTACAAAACTTGAAAGGAGGACAAGGAGGACATTTTTGCCAAAAGGAGGACAGAGAAGGACAACATTTTTGAGGAGGACAAATCACGTTTGAGGAGGACAATCCTCCTCAAAGGAGGACGGTTGGTCAGCTTAATATAATGCGTTAACAACTTTTTTAGAGGCAACTCGTTGAAATGTAACAAACACACATTCCACTGCAAGGGCCTTTGTAAATAACGTTCCATTTGTGCATTTACTCCAATTTTATATCCAGTATTGACAGCTGTACCATCACAGCTTATAGCTACAAGTTCGTTTAAGCAATATTTTTGGGTATTCAAAAAGCTTACTATTGCTTGCTGGATTGCTTCCCCAGTGCCTTCTTTTGGAGATACGTATCCAATAAATTTCGAATCAGGCTCTTTCAAAATTGTAATATGCTCCTCTCTTAGAAGCATTGTTCTTACGCTACCGTGAACTATTTTTTTTTTTAGTGTTACGTCCTGTTTACCATCATACGAAATGCATTTAAGATCAGTGCCAGTTTTTGTTGCTGCTTCAGTTTGTGCTCTACATTTGTTACGCTCGCGTGAAATTTTATTTTTGTCAATGACCAGATAATCAAAATATTTCATAATTTTATCCGCTGTGTTTTCTTTAAAATCCTTTTTTACTTTTGTAGCAATCGCAGCTTGCAAATCTTTTATTAGCATTGTAGCAAGCAATGATCCAAAGCGATCTGAAGTATCCGTCCTATCTAACGCCGAGCAATAATTTTTTAAGGACAAATCAGATACTTTTAAACTTTGTGTGACTTCTTCACTTGCTTCATCGTCTTCACTTGAGCTAGGCACATAACCAATCGAACTTGCAGCGGTTTCAGTGTGATTTTCAACATTACATTCTAGCGAGCAATTGTCAGTTCTAGTATGATCAAGCCCACTATCTAATGACAAAAGCCTTGGCCCGCATTGATCATAAAGAAAGTCATTTACCGCGGTTGGAACTCTACTTGCACTAGGGCAATCACATTGTCGATTTAAGTCCATAATGCACTTACACTTTGAAATTAACAATATTTTATTCCATTCCTGATCATTATATTCATAAGGATGTTTTTTTACATTGTAATAACTTTGAAGGAGGCTTTCAATGTTTCTCCGGAGCGTAGTTCTTGTAACTATAGGGATGTTTGCCTGCTGCCACAACTTTGAAATTGTGTTCATAACTATTGGCAAATATTCATTGAGACTTCGATTTTTTGGAACACTTGCAGAGCCGTAATATTTAAGGAAGAAAAAATATTCAATAACACCACGTTTCGTAGGTAACATTTTAATATCAATATCGCGCTTAACGAAAGCCATTTTTAAATTGCACACACTGTTAAGTCACTTTTTAATTTTATTTCACCAGCACAATTTATGGTATTAATTATAAATTATTATTATCAATACGAAACAACAGGTTTGACTCACTTATTTACTTTGACTTCCACAATTTATAAAATTTATTGGCATGATTAAATTACAAGAGGTTAGCTCGCTATTGACAGCGTCAGTTTTGCACTCCCCGGGTTGCTGATGCGACGAAAACAAAGAGTATGAATTTGGGAAAAATCGTAGCAAAAATGTACCTAAATTGGTACGAAAGCAGTGAGATTAAATTTCCAACTAAGAAAACTGTTGGAGGAATTTGTGGGGGCGAATTTTGTTAGCTGACCTAACCATGGGTAAACGACTTCATAGCTTAAAAGGAAATGTGATGACATGTTAATTTTAAAAATCGGCCGTCAAATACCCAACTTTCAACGAAAAAACCTTTTCGGCTGTATTTCGAAGGGTTAAAAAAAAAAAATAAAATAAAAATTTCGAAATCCTCTCAACATAATCCTTAAATTTAGGTTACTCTGTTGCATAAAAAAAATCAATTTTTGTTGTACTGTGTTATTATACTTACATCTGAAACTCATGTTGACCTGTGATATTAAAAGTGCTATAACTCCTTTGTTTATTATTTTAGTAATATAGTTTGAAGGCAACATTTTCTTGAATTTTTAAGTACTTTCGTTTGGTAAGGAAAAAAATATACTTTAGGGGGGGTAAAATTTTGTTTCTGCCCTTATCATGCGAACGCGACTTCAAAGCTTAAAAAGACATAAGAACGAAAAGTGAAGCTTCTCAAGACAAAAATAATGACATATCAATTTTAAAAATCGGCCGTCAAATAACCAAGTTACAACGAAAAAACCATTTCGGCTGTATTTCGGAGGGTTAAAAAAAAAAAAAAAAATTTTTCCAGAACCCTCTCAACATAATCTTTAAATTTAGGGGCGGACATTAGCAACTTTTTTTTTCGACCCAGTCTACTGCACACCTTAGGCACATACATACATACTGCAACATTACTCATTAAAGTAGATGAAAGTTAAAAAAAAACCTTCTTTCATGGCTGTGCACCATGGCGTATGATGAATGCGAACTGCACAGTGGGGTGACTTTTTTCTTGCTAACAGCACTATAAATATTGTGCGGCTGCTGTCTGCTGCATATTTACTATTTCTAGGGCGTCATGTTATAAAGAGGCAGCTGTCATATAATTTTGTTTTTGTTCCAACGCTGACTGTAACAAACAACATACCCTGCGATTCGCTTTTGGCTCCACTCAGCAATTAACAATGCAGTCTTAACTGACCAGGTTTATTATT